TGCCAAAGAGACAAAAAGTGAGAAATCACCCCCAAGAGGCGGATGGCCACGCCGCAATCCCTTCTCCATTCTCCTCTCGGGATTTTGAGCACGCACGCACTCGCACCCACCACGTTTTAACCTGCCAGGTCTGGGTCTCAAAACGCCACGTTTTAACCTGCCAGGTTTGGGTCTCAAACGTTATCAACTACATGGGAGTCCAGTGACATAACCACTACGCCTTTTGCTGGTCCTGACAATTTAAAATGTTTAAAAAGAAGAAACTCAGGACCAGTCGATGGTGTCATGGTTATGTTGCTGGGCTCCCATGTAGTAATCCATGGTTCAAGACCTGGACCATGCGGCTTAAACTCATGCGTGGCCATCCCCCCAGGGGGTGATTGCTTACTTTCTTTCTGTCTCTTCCTGTCTCTCTGGCAAGTACATATGCCCTATAGTAAAAAATCTCTCTAAAAAAAAAAAAAAAAGAAAGAAAAAGAAGAAATTCTCTAGCAAAACGGGATCTCTTTTAAGAAACCTTGATTGCAATGATCTGAACTAAGCAGCTGGGATAAAAGGTAACACCGGTGTTGGCCTGCACTGGAACATCTCCTGTCTGGAACGACGCTGAAACTCCTTCTCTCCCCTTGCAGAGGTGCCCAAGCAGATGCTCAGCGTCCAGGTAATAAGCGTGCTGTGGCTTCTCAGTGCACGTGTGCACACCAGGGAATGCATGCAGGCCAGCGCCTCCCACCCATAGGAGCTCCGAGTATGGAGGAGTCGGTCTTCCCAAGTAGCCCCGCCCCTTCTTCCACAGGTCTCCAGGGGACCCATGCTCATGAGAGAGGGCCCAATGAAGCTGTCCCCTCTCTCGAAGCAGCGAAGACCTGGCCTGCATTTGCTATCTCACCCCCCCCACCCAGGATGCTGCTGTAACCCCACGCCCACGCCTCTGGCTCTCCCAGGGCAGGAAAGACAAAGTCAAGAGGGAGGAAGGGCCATCACATCGCGCCATCCGACCGGGGCCAGGCAGCCTGTGTGTAAATCTTTCTCTTGGACCAGGGCTGGGAGAACGTGGCGGGGGTGGGAAGGGGACAATTGATGTCATTTCTATCTTTTCTTTTTATCCACGTGAGCTCCGTAAATGGGTGTCATTTTTTTGTTTTGTTTTTACTATTGAGCATGTGCATCAGAGACAGAGAAAGAGAAAGAGAGAGAGAAACCCAGGGGGATGACCACATCCCAGCCCCCTCTCCTCCAGCCTCCTCTCAGGAGTTTGGGCACACACGCATACATGCCCAGTGTGCTTTTCAAGCCACAGGGTCTGGGACTTGAACCGCATAGTTGGCCACACAGGATCCAGCTGCCTTTACCTCCATGCCACCTACTGGTCCAATAAGCGAGTATCTTATTCTTTCCTTTTAATTGCCAAGTATTTAAGAAAGATTCATTTAGTTCAACTATGCCACAGGGCTAAAGAGATTTCATCTCAAAGTGAGCACTGAAAGCCATTTTACAATAAGACCACGGGGACCACGACAGGGACAGCAGCAAGGGGCCGTCAGCTCTCTGTCTCCAGGAGCAGCCAGACAGAGGCTGGGTGACCATTTCTGGGCTGTGGTCAGGGAGAGTCCTGTGTTTTAGGTCTGCTAAATCCTAGTCTTTCACAATGGATAATGTCTCAACTACTTTAACAGAAAAAAAAAAAAACTCATAAGCGTGATTGCTTACTTTCTTTCTGTCTCTTCCTGTCTCTCTGGCAAGTACATATGCCCTATAGTAAAAAATCTCTCTAAAAAAAAAAAAAAAAGAAAGAAAAAGAAGAAATTCTCTAGCAAAACGGGATCTCTTTTAAGAAACCTTGATTGCAATGATCTGAACTAAGCAGCTGGGATAAAAGGTAACACCGGTGTTGGCCTGCACTGGAACATCTCCTGTCTGGAACGACGCTGAAACTCCTTCTCTCCCCTTGCAGAGGTGCCCAAGCAGATGCTCAGCGTCCAGGTAATAAGCGTGCTGTGGCTTCTCAGTGCACGTGTGCACACCAGGGAATGCATGCAGGCCAGCGCCTCCCACCCATAGGAGCTCCGAGTATGGAGGAGTCGGTCTTCCCAAGTAGCCCCGCCCCTTCTTCCACAGGTCTCCAGGGGACCCATGCTCATGAGAGAGGGCCCAATGAAGCTGTCCCCTCTCTCGAAGCAGCGAAGACCTGGCCTGCATTTGCTATCTCACCCCCCCCACCCAGGATGCTGCTGTAACCCCACGCCCACGCCTCTGGCTCTCCCAGGGCAGGAAAGACAAAGTCAAGAGGGAGGAAGGGCCATCACATCGCGCCATCCGACCGGGGCCAGGCAGCCTGTGTGTAAATCTTTCTCTTGGACCAGGGCTGGGAGAACGTGGCGGGGGTGGGAAGGGGACAATTGATGTCATTTCTATCTTTTCTTTTTATCCACGTGAGCTCCGTAAATGGGTGTCATTTTTTTGTTTTGTTTTTACTATTGAGCATGTGCATCAGAGACAGAGAAAGAGAAAGAGAGAGAGAAACCCAGGGGGATGACCACATCCCAGCCCCCTCTCCTCCAGCCTCCTCTCAGGAGTTTGGGCACACACGCATACATGCCCAGTGTGCTTTTCAAGCCACAGGGTCTGGGACTTGAACCGCATAGTTGGCCACACAGGATCCAGCTGCCTTTACCTCCATGCCACCTACTGGTCCAATAAGCGAGTATCTTATTCTTTCCTTTTAATTGCCAAGTATTTAAGAAAGATTCATTTAGTTCAACTATGCCACAGGGCTAAAGAGATTTCATCTCAAAGTGAGCACTGAAAGCCATTTTACAATAAGACCACGGGGACCACGACAGGGACAGCAGCAAGGGGCCGTCAGCTCTCTGTCTCCAGGAGCAGCCAGACAGAGGCTGGGTGACCATTTCTGGGCTGTGGTCAGGGAGAGTCCTGTGTTTTAGGTCTGCTAAATCCTAGTCTTTCACAATGGATAATGTCTCAACTACTTTAACAGAAAAAAAAAAAAAACTCATAAGCGTGTTTAGAGTTAAGATGGACACCAACAGAACTAGAAATGGGGGCCAGACGGTGGTGTAGGGGTGAAATGTAACACTAGGCCAGGCTGACCCAGGCAGGAAGGCTCCAGGTTCACGTCCTCAGACCCCTGAGTCTGCCAGGTACGGAGTGTGCATCCAGGCTGGCCGAGGCTGGGGTGGACGTGGCATCAAGGCCCTGCTGCGGGGTGCTGCCTGTCTGTCTCTGTTTCTTTTGCTCATGGGAGAAAGAAAGGGACCAACAAAAGATGAGGAAGAACTGGACATGAAAGAATCAAGCACTTTCCTCTGGGAAGTCAGGCTAGAAATGGGAAGGACCTGCTTGGTATCATAAGCCCTTCTTTTCTTTGCCATGGGAATGTACAATTTTTTTTTAATTAAAAAATAAACATTTCTTTGCCATGGAAATGTACAATTTTTTTTTAATTAAAAAATAAAATTCACAAAATAAGCAATTTATGAATCAGGCCAGCAGGTGGTGTGCTGGATCCCACATGGCCGACTGTACAGTCAGAGTCCTGGACCCACTGGTTTGAAAATCATGCCAGGCACATGTGCACACATGCCCCGAATCCCAAGAGACTAGATAAGAAAGGATTGCAGTGTGGCTGCCCCCCCAGGTGGGGGGTTCTCACTTTCACTCTCACTTCCTCTTTCTGTCTCTCTCTGGCAAGCACAGATGCTCTGTGGGCAAGAAACAAAACAACAACAACAACAAAACAATCAAGTAGTTACTAAATAACACGGTTCCAAAACATATTTGATAATATGGGGAATGCTTACAGTACCATACATATATAAATACATACACACATACAAGTATATAAATACACGGACACACACACCTAAGTGCACCTAGAAAAACAGTAGCACAAACAGGAGGGCCCCGCTGCGTAGCCTGGAGCACGTGAGAGGCCCGGGTTAGGTTCTTGGACAAGCTTAACAGGCCCAGTATGTAGCACACATCTGCAATCCTGGCTAACTGGGAGGCTGAGGGAGGAGCTCAGGATACAGACTGATGCTGTCAAATATACCTCTCTCGGGAAGAGCGCTTGGCGTAATGGCTATGTCGCTGGACTCCCATGTAGTTGACCGCGGTTCGAGTTCTGGACCCGGTGGCTTAAACTCTCTCAGGGCGCGTGTGTGTGCATGCCCAAGATCCAGAGAGGAGAATGGAGGAGGAGGGATTGTGGCGTGGCCATCCCCCCTGGGGGGTAATTTCTCGCTTTCTGTCTCTCTGTCTCTCTCTGTCTTTCCGGCGAGTGCACGCACCCTATAGCAAGAAACTCTCATATATATATACATATATATATACACACATATATATATACACACATACATACATACACACACACACACACATATATATATATATATATATACCTTCTTAAAAGTAATGATAATAAGGCAACTAGCTAGGTGACATGGTGGTTAAGGTAACTGGATCCCACATGGCCGACTGCACAGTTCAAGTCCCAGATCCAGCAGCTTGAAAAACACTGTGTGTGTGTGTGTTTGTACCCAGAATCCCAAGGGGAGAATGAAGGTGGCACTATAGAGTGGCCATTCCCCTCAGGGGGCAGGTTCTCATTCTCTCACTTTCCTCTGGCAAGCGCACACACCCTATAACAAAAAAACCTAAATAAATAGTATTAGCGATGGTCATAGATTAAACGTGGCCATAATTCTCTGCAGCAATCCCAATCTGGTTGTAGAGTCGGGGCTGCTCTGTCTGGGGTGAACCGGCCACTACCAGCACCCACCGTCAGACCTGTGAGAAGCCCCTGGACCACCGATACCCGATGGCGGCTGCACTGGTCACTCAGCACAGGCAGAAGAGCCACCGGCTGCCTTGTTTTCCAGACCTTGAGCAGATATGTGGTTGCCATTTGAAGCCACTCGTTTGAGGGTGACTTGTCACATAGCAGATAAGTGCCTCCCCCACTCTGGCCACCACAGTACCTGCCCAGGGGACGCCGGTGACCTCTGTGCTCCAGCCGCTCCACATGCCGTTTCCAAACTCCTCCTGGGCCCGAAGCTGCACCGTGTGCTTGGTGCCGCTCCAGGCGTCGCGGACGACGTAGTAATGCTGATGGGTCTTGACCTGGGGACAGGAGGCACAGGGACTTGGGGCGGGGCTGGGTGCTGGGGCTTAGCTCCACAGGAGGCGCTCCCTGGGCTGGCCAGGGCTGAGAGCGGAAGGCACTGCCCTCCGGCCCGACACGGGCTGAAGCTGCAAGTCACCCCCCACACACCAGGACCCAGCGAGCCAGGACCCCGAGGCACTTAAAGCTCTGAGGTGCATCTCTCCCACGGGCACTCTCTCACCTTCCGGGCAGGCCGGTGAAGAGGAGACCGTCCTTGTTACGATTAGCCTCATTTCATACCAGAGACAACCAGGGCCCGGAAGGTTAAAATCTTACCAGAGACCATGCAGGGTCTTGTTGCAAAGCGGGGCCTAGAACCCACTTTTTTCTTTTCGGTATTCTTTCTATCACCCCAGAGTATGCCGGGAGGTAGAGCCCTTTCTGTACAGAAGTAAAAGATGAACTTACCATCAGTCTGGTGAACGTCGTGGCGTGCTCAGCCCGGTACCGGAGCTCAAACCGCAGTTTATAGAAAAACGAGTTCCAGGTGTGGGGGTATTTCCAGGTGATAAGGAGCTTGTGAGGGTTCCTGGCCACGGCGAAGATCGTGACGTTGGCCGGTGGGTCGGGCTTCACTGTGGGGAAAAGGGCATGGTTCTGATGCAGCCGCAAACGCAGGGCAGGGGAGTGGCCCCCAAAGGTGTCCCAGACCCCACCTAGGCAGGACCCCCAGCCCAGCCCCAGACCACTCCCCGTGCACATTTTTTTTTTTTTGAGAGGTTTTTGCTATAGGGCACGTGCACTCGCCAGACAGACAGAGAGAGACAGAGAGACAGAAAGCAAGAAATCACTCCCCAGGGGGGATGGCCACGCCGCAATCCCTTCTCCTCTATTCTCCTCTCAGGATCTTGGGCACGCACGCACACACGCCGGCGTAATTTTTAAGCCACCTGGTCCGGGACTCGAACCATGGTCGACTACATGGGAGTCCAGGGACATAGCCATTACTCTAACTGCTGGTCCCACCCCTGTGCACATCTTGACGGGGCCCTTGCCCATCAGTCAGACCCCTCGGTAGGCAATGCCCCAAGGCACCATCTCGCCAGAGCCCTCCACCACTTTTTCTCTGCCCCCACCCCCACGAGAAGCCAGAAAGAAGGATTTGATCCAAAGGAAAGGGAACGGCTGGAGGGCTGCAAGAGCTTACATACAGATTTCATCGATCTCAAACGTGTGGGGCTCGCTGGCCTTGCTCCCCACGGAGTTGGCGACACACAGGGACACTGAGTAGAAAGAGCTGTCTGCCTCGCGGACCTCCAGCTGGCAGGAGAACTGCTGGGCCTCCTGGACGTACGGGCAGGGCTCCTGGAAGTCTTTCAGATAGCCGTCCTGACTGTGGGCACAGAACGGGGTGGGGTTTACTCAGGGGGGAGAAGGGCAGGTACAGGGTTAGACTCCCAGATGCTGAGGTCTAATCTCAGGCTTTGAATTCCAGCTCCAGACTTAAGAACTTTCTCTTAAATTAATTAATTTATGTATTTTAATTTGACCAGAGAGGGTTAGAGTTGGGAGGAGGAGTGAGAAAGCAAGCCCCCAGGTCTGGGACTCGAACCATGATTGGCCATGTGGGAGTCCAGTGCCCTTAACCACCACGTCACCTGCCAGCCCCATTTAAGAACTCCTTTTAAACGATTTTTTAAAGTCTTTATTTCTTCCATGAGAGAGAGGGGGGCTCCCAACAAGGTCTTCATGCCTCAACCCATCCCCAGCCTCAGCCAACCCGGCTCGCACACAAGCATGCTCAGGAAGGTTCTGGACACAAACCCAGGCCCTCCTAGGGGCTTGTAGCTGCACCATCACCTGCCCTCACACTGAGTAGCTCTTACTACTCTTTAGGCACTTTGAGCAAATGATTCAACCTGAGTCTATTTTCACTTTTTGAAACGGGAATGTTCGTAGTACCTACCTCACAGGAATTCTGTTAGGATTAATTGAAAATTGATTAATTAATTTTAAATATATATACATATATAGATATGTATGTATGTATATGACATCTGGCTTAGGGGCCAGCAGGTAGCATGGTGGTTAAGGAGCTAGACTCGCACGTGGATGACCACAGTTTAAATCCCAGACCTGGTGGCTTGTAAATCTCTCTCTCTCTCTCTCTCTCTCTCTCTCTCTCTCTCTCTCTGGTGAGAGCACTTGCTTTCTGGCAAATGAAAATAAGGAGGGGCATGGGAAGTGCAGTTGTAGAGGGCACAGCCAGCTGCTCAGGCAGCAGCTATCTGCTGGGCCCTGACTTCATGCAAGGGCCTGTGCTCTTGACACCATGGTGCATGCACGAATGAGCCGAAAGAGGCCCCACCGCCCTCAGATGACTGGATACCCCGCAGAAATGCCATTCCAGAAGCACAGAGCGCTAGCCGGGCCTGCAGGGAAGTGGGAGCCTTTCTGGCAGGCGAGTCCAGAGGATTCTGGGTAACTGAAAGCATTCGCAGTGAGTCAGACCCCATCCCACCTGGCCTGGAAGTCCCAATAATGTGTGTGAGCATGTGAGGCCACGCAGCCACTCGCCCTGCCACTGGGGCAATGAGTCACAAACCTCTGACTGGAGTTTGAACCCTGGACCAGGGTGGAGTCCCAACTCTTCTCTGAGAAGCCTGCCCCACACTTCCCAGTGGCAGTTGGAGTCTTTCTCCCACCCTCCAGCACCATCCAGGCTTCATCACACCTGACGCTGAGGCGGGGTCAGGGACACCCCCCTCCCCACCTTCCCCCCACAGTGTCCCAGCTCGGGCCCAGTTTTGTGCACCTGTGTGTCTCCCACAGCCCAGGCTGGGACTGACCTCACAGTGCGGTCAAGGAGGGTGCGAATGTGGGCACACCCAGGAGAAAAGGCAGGGCACGCTGCCACCTCTCTCCAAGGGCCTCCTCCCCGCCCCCCCAGCAGACCTAGCATCTGGTGGAGGCTGAGTGGGTATGGGGGGCCCTGAGACCCCACTCCCCTCCCCACGTCACAGGTACTCTGTTAAAGCTATCTTAGCCTCTTCAAAGCAAGGTGCGTGGGAGAAGGACTGGCCCTCCTGTGGCTGGAGGGAGGAGGAGGCCATAAGCCAGACACCTGCTCTCACCTGCTCTCACCTGCTCTTACTGTCCACACCAACGAATAACAATGTAGTTCAAGTGTCAGTAATGAATCAGCCTTCCATGGGTTGGTCTGGGGAGCTGCTGGCCACTGTGTCTGTCCTGTCTAATCCTGTCTGGGGAGGAATGCCTTCTAGGTCTCAGTGTACAGATGGTTCCAACTTCTAAAAAAATATTTATTTAATTAATTGTATATGTTATTATTATTGATTTTTAAAATTTGACCAGAGAGAGAGAGAGAAAGGGAAAGTGAGAAAGCAAGTTGCCAGCTCCGGGACTCAAACCATGGCCAGCCCTGGGGAGACCAGCACCTTAACCATCATACTGCCTGCTGACCCCAAGATGGTCCCAACTTTTGATGTACCTCTATTCCACTTTACAACGAGTGACAGTCTATGCACTCATGTTCTGCCCTCCCCTGTTGGTGCAGCACTCAACGAAGTCCCAGAGATGGTCAACACCATCATCCAACGGGTGTTGTGCTGGATGATTTTGCCCAACCGTAGGCTGACGTAAGGTTCTATCGAAGGTAGGCGAGGATAAGCTATGAAGTTCGGTAGGTCCAGTGTAGTAAGTGCATTTTCGACCAAACGATGGTTTATCGGGGTGGAGCCCTAGCGTGAGTCAGGGAGCACACCTGTTCATCCCAGCCTAGCTTTGGGTGGAGAGGCTTTCTGGCCTCCTTTACTTGGGAGGGGCGTGAGTTCCCAGTCCTAATGGCAACTGTATTATTTGCAGATGGGTAACCTACGCTTTTCTGTGTAGTAGAGACCAGAACTACTGCCAGGGCCCCCTAAGGTCTCTCTGGAGACAGACTCATGGAAGCCAAATCACTCTCTAGAAGTCACTGCTCTGGGGGCCAGCCAGGTGGTGTAGTGGTTAAGGTGGCTGGATTCCACACGGCCAACTGCACAGTTTGAGTCCCAGACCTGACAGCTTGAAAGACACTTCAGGCATGTGTGCGTTCGTGCCCAAAATCTTGAGAGAAGACTGGAGAAGGGAATTTGATGTGGCCAACACCATGAGAGGTGCTCTCTCTCTCTCCCTCTCCAGCAAGAATGCACATCCTTTAAAAATAATAATAAGTCACTGCTCTGATATTGATACTCGGATCAAACTCAATTATAAACATCTGGACTAAGGGCCAGCCCGTGGCATGATGGTTAAGGCATTAAATCCCACATGGTTCAAGTCCCAGACCTGGCAGCCTGAAAAACCAGACACATGTACGTTTGTGCCCCAAATCCCAAGAGGAGCGTGGAAGAGGATTGCGACGTGACCAGCCCCCTGGGGTGCAATTTCTCACTTTCCTTCCTCTGTCTCTCTCCAGAAAGCACACGTGCACTACGGCAAACAAGTCTGGGGGAAAGTCCGGACTGAGGGGAGCTTGACTTGGTGACACTGTGCTTGTTTTCGGCATCTCCTGCTGCGTCAGCACCTGCCATCAGCCCAGGTGCACCCCCCACCCCCACACTGTCCTCTGGTAGGCCCTCGGCCCACCAACTCTTTCTCTCACCTGCCTTTATCATGGAAAAAGCCTGACTTGCCACAGGCCAGGGACACTGATCGTGGGTATTTGCATCTTCCTCAGAGCAATGCCCAAACTTCGGACTTTGAACGGAATCAGACAGACTGGGGTGGGATTCCCAGCAGAACCACTTAGGGCTAGATGACCTTAACCGAGTTAATCAGTCTCTGAAAGAACCGCAGTTTCTCTGTGAGCAAAACAACACCCACTTCCTAGGCTGGCAGTCAAGGCGAGGCAGTTCCAGCACTGTGCCCAGCACAGGGCGAGCTAGGAGTGAGTCTCAGTTCCCTCTCTAACCCCTCCAAAGGAGTTACCCCCACCTCCGCGGGGGCCTCAGGGAGGCTGGGCCGTGGCTCCATTCATCCAGCCCAAGATACTCACAGCTTCCCCCACAGCAGCACCGCCGTGGTGGGCGTGGACGGGGCTCTCTGAGGGCTCCACGCGCACTCAATGCTGCTGATGGGGCTTCTCCGGAAACAGAAGGGCTGGGGCTCCTCGGGAGGAACTGGAAGGAGAGCAGAACAGGGTCTGGGGAGGCAGTGCTGGGGCTCCCTGGGAGCACACCTCACCCCAGGGCAGTATGACCTCCTTTCTTTCTTCCTTTCTTTTTTTTAAAGAAATTATTTGCTATAGGGCACATGCACTTGCTAGAGAGAGACAGAGAGACAGACAGTGAGAAATCACCCCCCAGGGGGGCTGGCCACGGTGCAATCTCTTTTCCTCCATTCTCCTCTGGGGATTTTGAGCGCCCAGCGTGCATTTTAAGCCTCCAGGTCCAGGACTCGACCCTCAGTCAACTGCATAGGAGTCCAGCGACGTAACCATTACAACCTCTGCTGGCCCCATAGCCTCCTTTCTAAGGGGAGCACTTGGCTCAGCACCCCAGCACCCCCCCCCCAGACCTAGCCATGACTCAGGACACGATGGACGAACTCAGTCACTCACTGAGCTAAGTGTGGCTGGAAAGTGAGAGGACGTGGCGGTGCTCACGTCAGGCTGGAAAGCGGATCCTGGGCAGGGGAAGGAGGCGCCCGCGTCTGATGGGGCGTGAGGAGGATCAGAAACAAACTGGGGCTCTGGGGTCACAGAGTCCTGGCTGGTAAGTCCCAACCTCTCTTCAGTTTCCATATCTATAAAATTAACTGCTGATAATATGAGGGGGTCTTCAAAAAGTTTACAGAACCTGTATAATATTTAAAAAAAAATTATGCATGGATTTTTTTTTTCTGAAGGGCTCAGGTACTCACTGGAAAAACAAAAGACAGAAAGAAAGAGAAAGTGAGAAATCACCCCCACACACACACAAGGGGGATACTACACCACAGTTCCTTCTCCTCCATTCTCCTCTCGGGATTTTGGGCAGGCACACACATAAGCCTGACACGATTTTCAAGTTGCTGGGTCTGGGACTTGAACCATGGAGTCGCCCATGTGAGATCCAGCACCTTAACTTCCATGCCACCTGCTGGCCCAGATTTCAAATAATTTTTTGGTACCAAATGAACTTTCTTTTTGTTTTGTGTTTTTTTGTTGTTGTTGTTTTGTTTTGTTTTGTTTTCAGTTTGCTATAGGATACATGCACTCACCAGGGGAAAGAAAAAGAGAAAGTGAGAAATCACCCTGGGGAAAATGGCCACACCACAATCCTTTTTCCTTTAGTCTCCTCTCAAGATTTTGGGCATACACACACGCATGCTCAGAGTGATTTTCAAGCTGTCGGGTCTAGGACTCAACTGTGCCATGGCCATGTGGGACCCGGCTGCCTTAACATCTATACCACCTGCTGGCTCCTGAACTTGGATTTTAATTCCACTTTTCTACAAATTTTTTAAACTTTTCTCAAATAACAATAATTACAGTAATACTTTCCCTTACTGGGTCTTTGGAAAGGTTATATGAGATACAAGGAAGAAAGTGCCTTAGCCTAGGGCTCGGCTAGGGCGTTGGCTCTGCCCAGCCGTCACTTAGAGGTGAGAGGTGAGAAAGCTAAGACTCTGCTAGTTGTTGTTTATTTTTGTTTGTTTGTTTGTTTTTAAGAATTGTTTATTTCAGGACCAGCAGTTGGTGTAATGACTATATTGCTGGACTCCTATGTAGATGACCACGGTTCGAGGACCTGGTGGCTTAAACTCACACCAGGTGCATGTGCATGCGTGCCTAAGATCCCGAGAGGAGAATGGAGGAGAAGGGATTGCGGTGTGGCTATCCCCCCTGGGAGGGGATTTCTCGCTTTCTGTCTCTGTCTGTCTGTCTGGCGAGCACACACGCCCTATAGCAAAAACCTCTCAAAAAAAAAAAAAAAAGAACTATTTATTTAATGTTATTTATTATAACTTTTTTTTTTTCATTTGACCAGAAAGAGAGAGAGAGAGAAAGTGAGAAAGCAAACCCCCAGGTCCAGGACTTGAACCATGGTCAGCTATGTGGGAGTCCAACACCCTAACTACTTTGCCAGTTACCAGCCCTAAGTCTCACTAGTCCTCAATGTAAGAATGACTCATTGGACAGCTCCGAATGTGCTGTGAGCTTTCAGCACACTGTGCTTCCATCTTTGCCATAGCTCTAAGGTGAGATTATAAAATGAACTTTATTTTGCCAAAGAGGAAAGTGAGGGACAGAGAAGTTACGCTACCTGAGAGGATTTTTAAAAGTTCATGGAGGGCCAGCAGGTGGCATGGAGGTTAAGGCAGCTGGATCCCACATGGCCGACTGTGCAGTCTGAGTGCCGGATGTGGTGGTTTGAGAAACACACCAAGCATGCATGCATGCATGGCCAAAATCCAGAGAGAAGAATGGTGGAGAAGGGATTGCAGCATGACCATCCCCCCGGGAGGTGATTTCTCACTTTCCCTTACTCTCTATCTCTCTCTGTCAAGTACACATGCCCTATAGGAGAAACTATTCAAAAAAAAAAAAAAAGGTTATGGAAAATGAAATGCAAGTTTATTTTGCAACAAAAAAATTATAGAGGACTGGCCTGGTAGTATAGTAGTTAGGGCCCACGTGGCCCATCTCAGTTCAAATCCCAGCCCAAGCAGCTTGAAAAACACACTGGGCAAGGGCCCAAAATCCCATCAGGAAAGAGAAATGGAGGAGGAGGGATTGTGGCGTGACCACACCCCACTGGGAGGTGCTCCTCCCTCTCTCTGTCTCTGTCTGTCTCTTGCTCTCTCTGGTGAGTATGCATGCCCTCTGGCAAGAAAATTATTTAAAAATTTTTTCTGAAATTCGGGCCAGCAGGTGGTGGTGGTTAATGTGCTGGATTCCCATGTGACTGACCAGAGTCTGAGCCCCAGACCTGGCAGCTTGCTTTCTCACTTTCCCTCTCTTTTTTTCTCTTCCTGTCTCTATCTGGTAAGTGCACATGCCCTATAGGAAATTTTAAAATAACAGTAATAATAATAAATTAAATTAAACAATTCCTTTTCTTAAAAAAGTCTTTATGCGGGAACCAGCAATTAGCGTAATGGCTATGTCGCTGGACTCCCACGTAGTCGACCGCGGTTTGCGTCCTGGACCTGGTGGCTTAAAACTCACGCCGGGCGCGTGTGCATGCGTGCCCAAGATCCCGAGAGGAGAATGGAGGAGAAGGGATTGCGGTGTGACCATCCCCCCTGGGGGGTGATTTCTCGCTTTCTGTCTCTATGTCTCTCTCTGTCTGTCTGGCGAGCGCACGCGCCCTATAGCAAAAACCTCTCGGAAAAAAGTCTTTATGCAGATTTAAATTTTTTTTAAGTTTGTTTTCTGAAATCCATACATATAGTCTCTTCATAATAGACAATGTCCATGAACTTTTTGAACCACCCCACCCTATATGAAAGATTAGGATTTGAACCCATGCTATTAACCAGTCCACCATAAGCCCTTACTCACAAAGCCAGACAGCCTTTCCCATCAGCCAGATGCCCCCCCTCAGCATTCCCCAGCTTTTGGTTGGTGGACATCAGCAGGCCTTTCCCTGAAATCCTTGGGCCACGGCTAGAACAGGAGCTTAAAGGGCCAAGCAAGGAATCTCCGGGGAATGCGCACGGCCATGTTCTCACTGGCATCGGAGCTGCCCTGGGAGCCGACCCCCAGAACTCCAAAGACACCACTCACCATCCACCAGCAAGCGCACGGTCCCAGCGGGGCGGCCGTCCCTGTAGCATGAGTAGTTTCCAGAGTCGCTGAGCTGCACCGACCTCAGAAGCAGCCTCCTTCCCACGCCAGCCCACCTGCCCCGGTGCGAGCCCCAGACCTGATTCCTGGGCACCCAGGGAACGGTCGCGTTGTCTTCCAACTCTTT